TGTGGTTAGATCTATCTAGTTCTGAGAAGGGAAGGTTGAGGTCTCCCAATGGTATAGTTTTATTGTCTATTTCCTCCTGTAACTCATTTAACTTCTCCTTTAACAATTTGGATGCTATACCACTTCATACACACATGTTTAGTATTGATATTATTTTATTGTCTATGGTACCTTTTAGCAAGATATAGTTTCCTTCCTTATCTCTTTTAATTAGATCCATTTTTGCTTTTGCTTTGTCTGAGACCATGATTACTACCCCCACTTTTTTTTACTTCAGCTGAAGCATAACAAATTTTACTCCAGTCCCTTACTTTTATTCTGTGTGTCTCTCTCTGTTTTAAGTATGTTTCTTGTAAACAATATATTGTAAAATTCTGGTTTTTAATTGACTCTGCTATTTGCTTCCTTTGTTATAGGTGAGTTTACTTCATTCAAACTACAGTTATGATGACTATACATGTATTTCCTTGCGTCCTGTTTTCCCCATTTATCCTTCTCTGTCTCCTTTCACCCTTTCCTTCCTTATCAGTGTTTTGCTTCTGACCACTACCTCCCCCAATCTGACCTCCCTTCTGTCAGTCTCCTCTCCCTTTTCTTAACCACCTCCCCTCTTCCTTCCCTATATAGCAAGACAGATTTCTATACCCAACTGATTGTGTTAATTTTTCCTCTTTGAGCTATTTCCAGTGAGAATAAGGTTCAAGCAATGCCCACTGAGCCCACCCCATCATACCTTCCACTGCAGTAGGTCTTTTGCACCTCTTCGTGTGAGATAATTTACCCCATTCTACCTCTCCTTTTCTACTGTTCCCAATATAATCTTCTTTCTCACCCCTTAATTTTTTTATATCATCCCATCAAAATCACCTTATACCTTCACCATGTCTATGTATACTCCTTCTAAGTGCGCTAATAGTAATAGAGTTCTTAAGAGTTACAAGTATCATCTTCCTGTGTAGGGATGTAGAGTTTTTAACCTTATTGTATCTATTATGTTTCTCTTTCCTTTTTGCCTTTTTATGTTTCTCTTGAGTCTCGTATTTGAAAATCAAATCCTTTGTTCAGCTCTAGTCTTTTTATCAGGAATGCTTGAAAATCCTCCATTTCATTGAATGACAATTTTTCCCTTGAAGGATTATGCTCAGTTTCACTGGGTAGGTGATTCTTGATTGTAATCCTAGCTTCTTTGCCTTCCACAGGATTTTCAGTCAAATATAAACTCTTTCAGGGAAGGGACTTTTAGTTTTGCTTTTATAGTCTCAAAAATTATCACAGTGCCTTGCATGAAATAAGGGCTAAATAAATGTTTACCGAATTGAATTGTTGTCTCTGACATGTGATGTAGCAAACATTGTCTGAAGAGTTCCAGCAATGGAGAACTCAGTGTTTCTTTGAACAGCTCACTCCACTTCTAGATAGTTCTAATCATACCAAGGAAAAACCTTCCAACATTGAGCTGTAACTTTTTTCTGCAATGTCTACCTATTATTCTTAGTTCTATCATCTGGGCTCAAGCAAAATAAGTCTAATATCTCCTCTGCAAGAAAGCTCTTTAACTACAGGTTCAACTGGGATTTTTAGTGGATTGTATACCCCAAAAACAAAAATGTAAGGTCCTCAGCTGCACTGAGAGGCACAGAATGAGAGGATAATATGAGATGGGTAAAATGAGAGGGTCTTTGTTATACTCTACTTAGCTAAAATAATGTCTAGGGTATTGTGTTCAGTTCTGGGTACCACATTTTAGAAAAGACTTTGCAATACTGTAATGTATCCAAAAGAGAAAAAGGCAGCATGTGGTAGTAATCAAGACAATACCAGATTGCAGCTCAGATGATCTGCGTTTGAATATCATCTCTACCACTTAGTGGTTGAAATCTTTAAACTTATACCTGGCACTTTCCCCCCTCCCCCATATTTGAATGAGAGCCTGTTTAAGATTACCACGATAAAGGCAAATTTCAGAAGGCTATGACTATCCATTATTAAAATGAGAAAAATTGGGTTCAAAATGGAGCTTGACTCAAAAATACAAAAAAAGAGTCATTTTGACTCTTAACTCACTCTTCCTTACCAAATTATGTGACAAATTTTTATTGTTTCTGTCTCCATAACATCTCTCACATCTTCTCTCTTCTTCTTCTTCTTCTTCTTCTTCTTCTTCTTCTTCTTCTTCTTCTTCTTCTTCTTCTTCTTCTTCTTCTTCTTCTTCTTCTTCTTCTTCTTCTTCTTCTTCGTCTCTCAGCCTCTATCCTAGTTTGGGCCCTCAACAACTCTTACCTAGATTATTAAAATAGCCTCTTAACTGGTCTCCCTGCTACCACTTTCTCCTCTCACCAATCTATCCTTCCCATAGCTGAGAAACTGCTATTCTTAAACATATATTTGATCCTCTGTTCAAAAATCTCCAGTGGCTCCCTGCTGTCTTTATGTGAAAATACAGACTCCTCAGCTTGGCATTTGAAGCCTTCCATTATCAATATAGCTCTTATTTAATTTTCTTCTCATTCACATTATACCTTCATTCACTCTCCATTCTAATCAAGCAAACACCCTAGCTATTCCCTGAACACAACCATCTTCCTTCTATCGCCATCCTTTTGCCTAGGTGTTCTGCCATATCTAGAATACATTCCCCACCTTCTTCCATCTGACAAAATCTCCAGCTTCCTTCAAAACCCAGCTTAGGTGCTACTTTCTACAGGATACCTTTCCTGAGCCTCTTAATTGTTAGTGCCTTCACCTTCTTGAAATTATTTTGCATTTGCTTACTCACAGGTCCTAAATATTATGAGCTAGGAGTGTTGAGGCCTAGATGTTTAGGGGTCCTGGGACCCCAAAATCATGACATGAATCCTGTCCGAAAGAATTTGACCAAAGCCTTCTTTCAGTCAAAGACAAGGTTTATTAAAGATCAGCCATATAGGCCAGACTGAAGAAATCTGACACTGGTAAGGATGAGCTGGCATGAGGAAGTCTCATCCCGTAAATGGTGGCCAGGATGGATCTAACAGACAGCCAGTAGTTTGGGGTGACCAGAGGAGGGGCTGGGAGGAGAATCTTGAAGCTAGGGTGACTGGGGGAGGAGTTCAGGGAAGATCTTGAAGCTGGGGTAATTGGGGAAAGGGTCCAGGGAGAATCCCAATGGGAGTGTTGGGGAGGTTGAATAGGGCATCTGGGAATAGACAATGGAGAGCTAGGCTTAATTAGGGTAACAAAGAACTGGGAGATTGGGCCTAGACATATAAGGAAAGGCCAGTTGAGTGGATTATAGCCTCAGCAACCACTTGAGACTTCTTTGACCGAGTAAGTGAGTTGAAGGAAAGTTTAAGGGTTGGGCTCCCAAACTCGCATAGAATGTAAGCTCCTTAAGGGCAGGGACTGTTTCCACTTAGCACAGTGCCTTGTCTGTGTTAAGTGCTTAGTTCATTTTATTTATTATGCTATCTGTGTGACCAAGGGCAAGTCACTTCACCTCTGTGGGCCTCAGTTTGCTTATCTGTAAAAATAAGGGTTGGACTAGATGATCTAAGACTAGTTCCAGCTCTAAAACTATGTTCCTATGATTCATGCTTCTCTGTATTCATCACATACATTACTTCTTGCAGCATAATAATATTCCATTACATTCATGTACTACAATTTGTTTAGCCATTCCTCAATTGATGAGTATATACTTTGTTTCCAATTCTCAGCTGTCACAAAATTGATATAAATATTTTGGTGTATATGAGGACTTTCTTCTTATTAGTAAATGAGGCATTTAAGCAAAGGACTGATTAAGACTTGTATAATGGTGACAGGGAAATTGTAGAGGGGATTTTTTATACAGGTACCAGTTAGGTATGTGAACAACAATTAAGATACCATTAGGCAGAAACAAATGTGTAATATTATATATGCTGAATATATAATGACATATATATTAAATTTAAAAGCTGAATTTAAATGATAAAAATAAGGAGTATAACTTCTGCAACAGCAAATCCTGGCCTTGAATCTTGGCTGTGCTACTTAATTCCTGAAGTCTTGGGCAGATAATTTCATTTCAATGGGCCTCTGCTTCTTCACCTGAAACACAGTAATTTAGTCTAAAGGATACTCTAAGGGTATTTCCAAATATGCCTCATATAAGAATGGAAGGGATGGTCAAATATTCAGGTTTAGTCTAAGCGAGGAGGACCAGTTCGCCTCCTTCGAGGCCAAAGAAGAGCAGGGGAGGGATGGGTGAAAACACAGGTTTTGAAGTCATTTTGAAATCCTTTTTCCCAGTCTTTTTTTTTTTTTAATAAACCAATCCCTTTTCTTTCCATTTTTACCGGGGACGTTCAGTGCTTTTTAAGTCAACGTTTTTTCAGTCCTGAAGCATGATGTCTATAATCCAGGGGCTTAAAACCAAAACCAAAACCAAAACCGAATACCCGCCGTTTATCGGCTCTGCGGACCCTCTCGGCCCAGTGGTGTGCATCTAAGGTGAGGCTGCCTGCGGTAACCTCGGTAGCCTCGGTCAGACAGCTCGGACCGAGGCATTTCCCAATTGAACTGAAGGGTTTTAAGGCTGTGGCAGAAAAGGAATCCGGCGTGACACCTGATGGCCTCGAGTCTTTTATTAGTCTTTTACTCTCTTCTCTTTCAACCATCTCTTCTCCCTCCTCCATTTCCTCTTCCTCTTCCATCTTTACTCTCCCAGCCCCTCTGGCTTTGAACTCTACCCCCCCCCGTGGGAATTTTGAAGGAGGGGGAGGGGGCGGGAGAAAGGAAAACCCACATGCACGGGCGCACACACACACACACACACACACACACACACACACACACACACACACACACGCACGCACGCACGCACGCACACACGCACGCACACGCGCACGCACGCACGCACGCACGCACGCACGCGCACGCACACGCGCACGCACACGCACACGCACACACCCCTTCCGCGCATGCGCTCTAACGGCAGAACAGCCTCGGGGACGGGCGGGCTGGCGGGCGGGCTGGCAGGCGGACAGACCGACGGGGGTGTGGGAGCTGCGTGGGCGCATGCGCAGACGCGCTCCTCCCGCCTGGTCTCCGAGCCGGGAGTCACTGGGGTGTCCTGGTCTCCGTCAGTCAGTCGGGGGCCAGGGCTGGGGGCCGCTGCTCTCTGTGCGAAATGGTGTCGCTGGCCAAAGCCTACACGGTGACGTTTTATGGGGTTTTGGCGCTGATGGTGGCCGTCGGAATATGGGATGTTTTCTTTGGGTACGAAGAGAACAGGTGCAGCATGAGCTATATGTTCGAATATCCGGAATACCAGGTGAGTGTGGCCCCGCCCCCACCTCGGCCCCACCCCTCCCCCAGCCCCGCTTTTAGCCCCTCGCCTCCTCCTACCCCATCGCTGTGCTGTGTGACCCCTCCTTCCACGACAGGCCCATCCCTGTTTAATGGAGCTTGTTGCTAGGTACTGGCCCCTGCTTCCGCTCCTCGACCCCTCCCCAATGTTTCCCCTGCTCCTTGCCTCACGATAGTATCCGGTTCCCAAGCCCTGGATTCTTTTTGGCCCTACAGAACGCCCCCCACCCATTCAAACGTTACCCTAATGTCTCCTGCCCCCCCAACAGGTGCCTGCCGATACCTCGTTATTTTAACTCCCCCTCCCCCCAGTATCACGCGTGACAGTTTTCCCTTTTCTGTAACCTTGCATAAAATGCTGCATAGAGGAAGGGAGTGTGAGTGTAGGTGATCTCAAGGCTGCCGGTTGAAGGCATTGTTTTCCTTCTTTGCAGAAACTGTTCTGTGGGATTTGATGCATGACTGAATGTGGGGAGAGGAGGAATATGTTTCTCTTTTGAAGCTGTTTGCACAAATATATCTTATAAGCTACGTCTCTTTTCGTATTTGTGTGTGCTAGTACATTATTAACAATCCTGATCTGTTACCAGTTGCATGCACCACCTGTTCCGCAGTGTTATTCTACTCAATTCAAACATTTAAGTGCCTACTATGTGCAAAAATAGGTGGAGCTACAGTGTAAAAGGGACCAGTCTTTTCCTTTAATGTGCTTACAACAAAGGCCTTGCCTTGCTTATATCAATTTAGCCACGCCCCCTTCCTCTTCAAGGTATGTGTTGACCTCAATTTTCTCACCAATATGGTGTTCTGGAGCATGGGCTTATTCTTTACAGAAAATGGTTCACTGCTTCAGTGTTAAAATGATGGCACTCTCCTACCTAATTAATCTGTAATCTTTATCCAAAATATGTTTAGCTTTAATTGTGATAATGTAGCCGAAAGAGCATTAGATTTGGAGTCCAAAAACCTAGGTTCTTATCTCTATTTCTTATATTACCTTTGTGACCTTGGGTAAGTCAAAGTCAAAGGTTACTTTCTGTAGTTCTCTTAATTATGTAAAAAAGGAGTTGCACTAGATGATGATCTTTTCTGGTGCTTCCATTGTACAATAATAACTCCTGTAATAATTCCAAGAAAAACACCTCCATATGGCTTCTAAAACTATATTTTGGTAAATCAGGGAGGAATGTAGTACCACACATACTCAGTGAAATGTCACGGGAAAGTAGTATGTTTCTGCTATATGCTTTACTACTACTGTTTACAATTCTATGCTATTCCATCTGAAGTGGTGATCTGTTTTCTAAGGACTAAATTCGTGGAAATTTACATATGGCTGTATTTTTGAGTATGCTTGCTAACCAGGGTTTTGAATTAGTAACTGGCAAAAGAAATGAAATGGAAACATTTAATGATAAATTTTGCTTGGCCTGAGAGGGCAGAACAAGGAATAAAAAGTAGAATGTGCAAAGAGCAAATTTAGGTTTGATTACAGAAATTTGAAATACTGGCGTTTTAAGGTTGCTTTTTACATTTTACCAGTTATTTAAATGGTTCTGCTTTATTTTGTCTAACTCAAGGGTTTTTAGATTTTTGTGTGTGTATGTAATAGATACCTTTGACAGTCTGGTGGATTCTATGGAGCCCTTTTCAAAATAATGTTTTAAAATGCATAAAGAAAATTAATTTTGTTGAAATACAGTTATTAAAATATTTTTAAACAAGTTTAAAGACTCCAGTTTAATAACTTTTGCTCTATTTGAATATTACTTCCTTTCCATTTTGTATCACTTAATAATTAGGAAGATCTCAATAGGCTAAATTAGGTTACCTTGATTATATATGATATGAATTTGGTTTAAATTATATTACTGTAGAACAGTGGTAGTTTCCATTTATTTTTGTACTACAAACAATAAATGAAGGTATTTCAGTTGTAATAATAGTAGTAAGCAATCACTGTTTCACAGAATCACAGAATTTTGGAATTGGAAGGGCCCTCAATGACCATTTAGTCCAGTCCATAATTGGAAAAGAATCCTATCCTATAATGTATCTAACATGTGGTTATTTAAACTTTACTTGAAGACCCTTCTTGTAATGAGGAACTCATTATTTCCTGAGGAAGCTCATTCCATATTTTGTTCATTTTCCTCATTATTAGACCTAAATTTGTTCTTTACACATTCTACTTTTTATTACTTGTTCTGCCCTGTTGGGCCAAGCAGAACAAGTACCAACCCACTTGCGTATTATATAGACTCTCTGATACTTTAAGACATTGATCATGTATCTTCCTCTTACCCCTAAACTTCTATTTTCATAGTTATACTCCAGATCCTTCAACTTGTTCTCTTTTAGCATGAATTTGAGTCCCTTCATCATCTTAATTATTCTCATCTAGATATGTTCCAGCTTATCAATTTCTATCTTGAAATGTGGTGCCCTGAACAGAAAACAGTACTCCAGACTTGCTTTGACAGACCAGAGTACAATCCTTATTTCTGGAATGTGTTCTTTTTTTAATGTAACCCAAAATGGAGTTAATTTTTTTGCTTGCCGTGTCACACTCTTGACTCAAATTGAGTTTATACTCTTGTTATTCATTGTTTTCAAAGGGGATCAATGACACACATCATGGGTGATATCTTGACTTGTGTGTGAATTGGATTTAAGTGAGGCAAAGTTGCACAAAGTCACCAGCCTTACTTTTCCTGAGTCATCAAAATCCAGTGGCCAGACAAGTCAACACTATTGGCAATGAATGACCCAGGATACAGGGGATAATCTTGGTGTCTTTGATGCCTGACAAGGCTCTAAGTGCTTTGTTAGCACTGCTTCAGCTGCCTGGATGGCTGTTGGAACAAATTGTCCTCATCTCATTCTGCCCAGGAATGTCTACACATGCTTGGAATAGACATCCCCCTAACTCGTGGACAAGTTTAAGGCCTATTGGTTATCCTCAGCCTGATTTAGCCTGTCTGTGAGATGTTTTACTGGGGTGTGGCCTCTGAGCATCTTCTTGGAACCACAGGTGAAAACTTCTTCAGACAAACTACTTTCCAACCATGTCTTCCCAGTGTTTGTTGTTCTTGTAAAGTCATTTTTTTTTTAGCTCAAGGGTAAGACTTTATGTCTAGTAAGTTTCATTGTATTATGTTTGACTGCTGTTGTAGCTTCTTAAATATTTTTTGGATCATGACAGTTTCACCCAGTGTCATCTGCCAATTTGATAAGCATTAATCAGAGTCATTGATAAAAATTTTTGGAAGCATGGAATTAAGCCTAGGGCTCTGTGGTACACCATTGGAGGTCTCCTTCTATAGCTGACTTTGACCTATTAATCATTAGACTTTTTGGATTTGGATCTTTGGATTTAGCCATCTAGCCAGTTTTGACTTCATTTGTTGTTTAGCCTAAAGCTCTATATTTTTCACAGGGACAGCATCAAAGACTTTGTCAAATGTTTTGTAAACAATGTGTATAGCATTTCTTTGCTATAAAAGTTTAGTAATCCTGTTTGAAAAAAAGAATAAGGTTAGTTTGGTTAGCTTGACTCTTTCCAAATGATCTAGAATTTTTTTCAGGAATTAAATCAAACTCATTGATCTATAGTTTGCAAATATCCTTTCTCCTTGTTTGCAAATTGGGTTAATATTTGTCTTTTTGCAGTCTCAGATTGCATTCTTCCCATTATTCCCTCTTTAATTCTTCAGGATAAATGTTATTTACTGTATTAGTCATTATTTATTAAAGCATTTATTAAAGGCCTACTATGTACCAGGCACTTCTACATTTTATTTACATCAGTGCTTATTAGGGATATTTGTATCATGGAAAGAGATAGAAATGATATCTTATTTTTCATTATTATTATTATTATTGCTAACAGTTGGTGTAATATTAGAATTAATTGATAGAATTCACTTGTGATTCCATCTGGTCCTAGAGTTTTTTTCCTTTGTGAGTTCATTTATTATTTATTCAGTTTATTTTTCTCAGTTGGGTTATTTAAATCATCTATTTCTTCACCTGTTAATTTGGGTATTTTCTATTTTGTAAGTATTTTTCAGTTTAGTTAGCATGTAATTGGGCAAAAGAATTTCTCATAATTTCATTTGGATATTCTTTAGGGTTTTTTTTTCATTTCTGATACTATCAATTTGGTTTTCCTCTCTTTTTTTAATCAAATTAGTTAATCTCATCTATTTTATTTTTAAAAACTAGTTCCTATTTTTATTCATCAATTCAATGGTCATTGTTAATTAGTTGGGGATTTTTGATTTGTTGATCAAGTTGTTTTAAAAGTGTGCCTCATCATTGATTTGTTCTTTTTCTTATTGATGAAAGTATTTAGAAATATAAATTTTATCCTTATAATTGCTTTAGCTGCATTCCATAAGTTTTGGTATATTGTCTTATTGTTGCCATTGCCTTTGATGAAATTTTCTTTTGTTTCTGTAATTTATTAGGTCTTCAGTTACCTTAAAATTTTTCTTTAAGGGCCCTTTATTGAATAGAATTTTTGTTGCATTATGGTCAATAAATAATGTGTATAATTTTTTTTTACATTTCGGTGAGGTTTTTATGCCTTAGTATAGTCAGTTTTTGTAAAGGTGCCACATGTAGCTTAGAAATATATATTACAGTCCCCCACTATTATAGATTTACTGTCTGTTTCTCCCCAGTTCAGTTAACTTTTCCTTTTGGTATTTAGCTACTATGTTATCAGATACATGTATATTAAGTGTTCATATTGATTCATTATCTATTGTGCCCTTCAGCATACTGTAATTTCCTTGCCTGTTTTTATCTCATCTCTATTTACTGTAGCCATATCTAACATCATTATTGCTACTCTTCCTTTTTTGAGTCCAGCTGAAGTATGATAGATTTTGCTCCTGCCCTTCATTTTAACACTGTTTGAGTCTTTGTGTTTCAAGTCTGTTTTTTGTAAATAACATA